AATGTTGGCGCAAATTTGTTACTCTTCAAAAATATTCAAATGATGTGTTAATACTTCATTTTGTTTTAATTTAACATATTCGAATATATGTATTTTATATGACTATTTTATATATATTATTTTATTTCGTATTCCTGATGTTTATTGCATTTTATTTTATTTTATTTTATTTTATTTTATTTTACTTGATTTAATTTTATGTTATTTTATTTTATATTATTTTATCTTACTTTATTTTATTTTGTATTATTATATATTATTTTATTTTATTTTATTGTTTTTTTATTTTTATTTTTATTTTTTACTTTCATGCTTTGTATTGTACATTATTTAATTTTATTCTTTTTATCTTACTTTATCACCATTCTTTATCTATTCTAAAAACAATTTCTTACTTATTGTGTGTATTTATTTTACTTTAATTATTTTTTTCTTTTATTTTATTTTATGTTATTTTATTTCATATTATTTTATATTATTTCATTCTATCTTATTTTATATAATTTTATTTTATTGTATTTTATTTTATATTATTTTATTTTATTTTAGTTTATTTTATTTTATTTCAATATTTTTTTTTATATTTTTTTTTTACTTTTATGCTTTTTATTGTACATGATTTAATTTTATTTTATTTTATCTTACTTTATTAATCTTTTTTGACCTATTCAAAATTTAATTTTTATTTTACTTTATTTTTTTATTTTTTTATTTTTTTATAAAGAATTTATTTTATTTTATTTTATATACATATTCATTTTTATTTCACTTCAATTATTTTTTCATTTGCTTTTTTTTTCAATTAAAATACATAATATTTTATAAATAATAAAATGTATATATAATATTTTTGCATGTAATAAAAAATTTTTTAGTGTATAATATATATATTTCATATATATATAGTTCTTATATAATTTCATTTCAATTATTATATTTTTATTTTATATGATTATTTTATATACATATATTCTTTTATTATATTTTTATGACTTTCAGTTTATTTAATTTAATTTAATTTTATACTTTTTTAATTTTATTTTATTACTTGTAAGTCTAAGTTTAGTTTCTTATTAATTTTATATATATATTTATATTTATTTCATTTTATATATTTGTCATTTTATTTGATTATTAAATTATTTTGTTTTCCTTTCATTTGAATTTTTTTCTTAATTAAACTATACGAATTCATTTTTTGTTGTGCGTATATAATAAAAATTGGTTTTACTATATAATGAGTATATTTTAAATATACTTTTTTATATAATTTCATTATGATTATTCATTATGAATATTATTTTTATTTTATATTTTTTATACAACTACAATATGAATATATTATAATCATATACTATTATAATTATACTTAATCCCTTATTATATATACTATATTACATCATTTTGCTTTATATAGTTAATTTTTTTTTATTTAAATCAGTTATATAGTTTTGAGAAAGTTAATTGGTCAAGTTGTTTAAGTAACACAAAATTTCTTAAATTATTTTTAAAATATATATTTTATTATAACCAATATTTCGTCTGTAGTCTTAAATCAACTTCAGGATACTAACATGATATCAATATATATATCATTCAATGATTCGAAACATATACTAAATAATTAATTATACATTTAAAGAGTAATAAAACTGCAAATAGTTATATATAGGAAATAGTCCGTTCAAAAGTATGCAAATAAAATTTGACCATTAAAACAATAAACCTTTAATACTTTAAATATATTTAATTTGTTTTTAATTTGCTCATCTTCTCATTTATTTTCTATTTTATTTATTTTTAGTTTGCATTATTTAAATTTATTATGTTTTATATAAGTTTGCTCTTTTTTTTTACTTTTTATACTATATTTTAGTTTATTAAAATCAGTTTTATTTTATTTAATTCGTTTCTATTTATTTTTTAATAAGCTTCGTTTTATTTTATTTTTACATATTAAAGTTTAGTTTGTATAATGTAAATTAATTTTATGTTGTATTATTTTGCTTCTTCTTTATACTTTTAATTATTTAATTTTATGTTACTATTTTTTATATAAGTGTTTAAACGCTTAATTAACAACATCTAAGACATATGTGAATAATTATAAATAAAATAATAATGGGTTCTATATTATACATTTTTGACTATATGCATAAGAGGAGATTATTTATTAACTCAGTTATTTATTTTTTTACATAATTTTGTTTATTTTCAAAAGTATTAAAAACAGTGAACTTTACAATAATTCACAGAAAATTTTTTTCATATATTTGTTTTTATTTTATATAAATTTTAAATAGTTTGAAAAATAAATAAAATACTTTATATAATATTTATTAATTTTATTTATTTATTTCTTTTTTTAATTTAGTTTTTAAATTTTTCGATTTTTTCCTGAATTATTTTAAAAATTAAAATTATTTAATTTACTTTAATTTATTATTATTTTTATATAAACTTTATTTCTTAAAATAGATATATAAACTATTAGACAATTTATCACACATTGAAATTAAAATATTAATAATAAAATTATTTATATAAAATCTTCCAATCATGTGAACTTTTTGAGACCTACTCCATATAAAAATCAAAAAGCTTGCGAAATATTTATGCGAAAAAAACGTTCGCATTATAGTACTGTGTTTTTGCATGCAAAATGCCATTAGCGCATTTGTATGTGTAATATTTCTGCAATTTACGTACGAATGTGTGTAAAAATGTTAGCAACATTTTTTCTTGAACTTTCAACTGAGCCATATCTAAAGCAATGGTGGAATGTGTGTGAGAAAACAAATGGAATTGACAAGTCTCATTTATAAAAAAATAATTTATTTAAAAAAATTAATTTGGTGGAAATCATTATGTAGTTAAAAAGAAATAAGGTTTTATTAACCCCTTTAAATTTGGATTTTTTATTAAAAATCTCAAGCTTAAATGTGAAAGATTTTTTGATAATTACTTTGTTTGAACATATGTATGCATTAGATATAAGTATGTAGCTAGAAATTGCAGAAAGCCAGGCTCTAAGAAGATTTTTCAAAATACTATAATACATTAGGACGAATGACATCCTTAGGGACCTCAAGAGTGATCCGATCAAAAAATACATAAAGGATAGAGTGCTGAAATTATTTGCGAAAGCTGACAGACTTACCAACACCGCATTATCAAATCTCAGAAGGGTTACTGGCTCCTCGAGAGGTATGCAGATCTGAGGTCAATAATTGCTTAGTATGATGAAGTAATAAGCAATAATCCAGTCAAGGCGCAAATTGGGGTTTTAAAAATACCTCGAATTAAGAAAGAGTAAAAGTGCTCAAGTGCACTGGCTCAAATAGCCTAAACATAATATATTAATATGTTGTGAATAAAATAATTAATTTATTGACTACATTGTTGTAAATTGTTGCTATTAAGTTGCTAAAATTAATACAAATTTTGGGCTTTCAGAACCAATTTCAGTATGAAATATAATAAAAAGTAATCAACTATAGACTCCAAAGAAATATATAAAAATCGCAAAAGAGCGAGTTCCAGAAACAAATGGATTGAAGGAATTGGTGTGAACGTAATCAAATAAGATGAGAATGATTATCAAGAAACATATTTGGTTGAAATATGTATAGTAGGTTTAAAGTGCTTCATAAAAAGTTAAGGAATAAATTCAACTAAAAAAAGGAATCTATAACTTAAATTATATTGCATATAAGTAGTATTTGTATAAACATATAAATATATACATGTGGAAGTATATGTTACTAAATCAATTGTATCACTTTTTGCCTATTAATGATCTCTTTTATAAACATATATATCTCTATCTACCATATTAAGATAAAAAATGCTAATTCTTATGGTATGTCAAATAGTCAGACGGTTATTAAAGCTTTTGACTTGATCTCGACAAACTCTCCACTGATTTGAAAAACAGTCTATATTTTGTTACCAGAAACCAAGTGATTTTATGCTAACTTTCTCTTTAAAATCTCAGTTAATCTAAGCGATACCAGTAAAACCAACCACAAATAGACTAATGGTTAAGCATATTGCTACGTCAGCTATTCTTTCCAAAATACTCTGAAAAAAAAGCAAATACACACTGTAGGCAAAAATATAACACACCCGAACTTAGTTCAAATATCGCTTATTTCTTTTCGATAGGTAAATCTAGATTTGCTCTTGACCTGTCATTTTTTGCTCGAATTTTATGGCTCAATCGAACATGTTTAAGGTAATGGAGAACAAATCAGCTGCTAAATCAGCTGCTAAATCAGCTGTAATTTAATAAATCCGACAAAATATCTAGATTGTTATAAGTTAATCGAGTGATATACATTTTACTTGAGATTAACTAATCGTCCCTATAACATAATTCACAATGAGATAAAGGAATTAAGAAGAGGAACTAATCGTATGGTTTGAAAACTGTACTGAAAGTAAGTATATATGTATAAACAATTTAAAGTTATATAAAAATTGAAACATAATAGTGTAACATATGTTTTATTACGGTGATATAACTGATTTTGAAAAATTTATTTTGGTTTTGAATTCTGCCTGTGGGAAGGGTCATTTCCATTTTTGAATTCTTTTCAACAAAATCCAATATTTATAAATAAAAAAATCTCAAACATATTTGAATTATAAAATAGATCTAATTGAAAAAATTGTTAGAACATATGTAACCATCTGCCTGTCACAAAAAAAACCAACAGAAAAAAATTATTAAAAAGATTTTTAAAACTCTGTTAGTATAAAGGGTTAAGCACACCCACTCAGTCGTTGTAATATTTGTACAAAGAATTGAAAACCCACACAATTTCTATGAATTCTATTCATATAGATATTATACCCTTTTGTCACCTTCTAACCCCACCACTATAAACGGCTGCATGCAAAGCCGTACCCCACCCACTGGGCGCATATAAGCAGACATAATTGCTAACAGCGCCCATATAATCAAACACTACCATAACCATAACCACACACTTTACCTTTTATTGATCCACTGGAATTATTTTGTCCTGGTGATTGCACATTACTCTGGCCCAAAGTGTTTGCGTGTGCTTCCAATTTGGATGTTACACTGCTCCACATATCAAACATACGTTGCGTATACATTATAATTTATTTACGTTTATGTAAATTTTATCCTTTGATTTTTTTTATCCTTTTCTTTTTTTCCTTAATTTTTTCTCTTCCTTTAGCTTTTTAAATTGTAATGTTTTTATTTTTTATTTTTTTTGTTTAAATTAATGTTTTATATGTTTTGTTTTATATATAAAAAATGTTTTGTAATTTAATTTAAAAAATTTGTATTTCTTATGTTATTTTATTTTATTTTATTTACATGAAATCGATATATAACAATTTTTTTTTTGTTTTGAATTTAGTGATTTTAATTTTAATTAATTAATTTAATTTTTTATTTTGTTTTTATATATTATTATTTATTTATAATTTTTTTTTGTTGTTATTAGAAAAATGTAAAAATGTTGCTTTAACTGTTTAACAATGTTTGTAAATATATATCAATAAATTTTATATATATATATATATATAAGTATGTATATATATGTGTGTAAGTATGTATATATATGAACGCGTAACTATGTATAACTTTTTCGCCAGGTTGGCATTGCACTTTTTAATTCAATTTAGGGGATTCCTTTTTAGCTTCATAAATTTTTATATCCTTTAATGTGAATTCTTAATTATCACAGTTCATTTTAAAAATGTGTAACGAATTTTCTTATTAATTTTATTTTTATATCAATATATGAAATATTTGCAATGCATATAGGTACTATATATGTATGTATGTGTATATAATTTGTTTTTATTTTTTTTAAATTTTTTTATATATATATTTATTTTTTAATTATGCTTTTTAATTTTTCTATTATTATTTTGATTTTAAGACACTTGATCGAGTAATTTGCAAATTCTTACGTGATTTTGGTTTTAAAGCATTTGAGGATGAGGATTTAATTTGGAGTTAACTTGTATATTTTTTTTTTAATTTTTTTTTATATACTATATTAAATGTTGCAGCTTATTTGTAGAAATATCCTTTTTTTACCCTTTAATACAAAACTTAAGATTACAGTTTGCAGTATTAAAATACAAACGACTTACATATATGTATATAGATTTTATTATTAATAAATTTATTATAATTTATATTTTTTAATATATATTACATATATATAATTTATATATATAATTTTTTTTGTTAATTTTTTTATGTTTACTTTAATTTTTAATTTAAAAGATTTTCAATCTTTTTTTGCTTCTCTTATTTTTTAATATACTTATTGTTGTTGCTATTTTTATTATTATTATTTTTATTATGATTACTTTTGCGTTTTATCACTTTCACTGTTTGAATTTTTTTGTTTGTTTCATTGTTTTGTCGATTTCTCTGATTTTTTTGGTTCCAAATTAAGATTTCCAAAAATACGAAAATTTCACGACAATTTATTCCGGAAGACATTTGGAATTTTAAATTGAAATGAAACCGATCTTGACAGCAGCGGCAGCAGTGGCAGCGGCAGTGGCAGCAGCAGCGGCGGTAGTTGGCAGGATCGCTCGATCAGTTGTCCTTATACTTTGTTGCATTGAAAGATTCGATTTTTTTTTATATTTGCTCTTTATTTACTACACTTTTCGTTTTACGAGAATTTATTAAAACACTTTAAACAATAGAAAGATAAAGTATTTTGTAGGTTTAGTTTTAAGCTTATGCCTAGAGCCCCATACCAGTACATGCTGTACGTACAACTTAGCCGGAGAAATACATTGAAATCAAAATTTTGAATACTTCGTATCGATTTTTATTTGATTGCGCGTTGTTGTTGTTACTGTAATTCTTTTATGTAATTGAATTAATTTACAATTTTAATTTAGTTTCCATTTAGCAGATAACACGATGTTAGAAAGTTCATTGAGCATTGCTATTAAGTAAGAATTTAGAATGATTAAGTAAAAAGTACAGTTGGACAAGAAGTAAGTGACCATTATTTTCACAAGCGTAACTGTTTTGAATATTCTCATAGTCTTTATATGGGTTATATTAGGTTGCTGACAGGGCAACCTATATAGTATCTTAAAATATGACTTAGAAAATATTAGTAAAGGATAGTGACACACGAAAGAACAAAATATATTAAATAGCTAGTTTCAGTTAGTACTTTATCTGTATATAATTGGTTGTAAATTGGTTTCTTTTAAGTAAAATAAATTATATTACTATCACAAAGCAGGTTATTAGAGAGATTTATTTGCAAGTATTACTTTTTAAATAATACCATTCAGCTTATGCGGACACATATCGACAGGTTAAACATTTATAGTACCTTCAAGTACGCTAATGTAAATTTTTATCGACCTTAAACAAAGATATATTGATAGACTAACCTTTATAGTATCGTCAAGTTTGCTTAAATGCATTTTTATTGACCTAATGAAATTACATATCAACTGGTTTAAACTTTATAACACGTCCAGTAGTCTAAAGTGAAGATGTAAAGAAGGATGGTGACATGGCAATAAAATATATTGTAAAATCGATTTCACTTAGTTTTTTTTTAATATGTGCTATCTTGCTGTATAAAAACATTCTTCAATAAAATTTCGTAAGAAATAGTTATTAATTGAGACTAATTAATTCCATACCTATGCTAGTAACATATATGGCATAATTCTAATGACTTTACAAGAAGGCATATAAACAGGACTTTGCAGTACGAAATCGTTTTGGTAAGTAATGTTTGCTAGTCTAATTTAATTACCCTTATACTTATTTTAGTGCTCACTCTATCGGAAAGTAGGCAAAGCAACAAGACTGTGTTAATTTAATTCCAGATCAAATAAAATATAAATATATATATCACTTATTTATAGATTTAATGCAGGCATTTAATTCTTTAAACACCTTTGGTGTCATATACCATACATTTAACAGATGAAGTATCTATTGAAAGGTGTTGAGATAGTAGAAGGCAAAACTTTATAAGTGATCGCAGTAACGTTTTCATTCTTCAATTTATCATCTTTCAAAAGTTTATTTTAGATGAAACTCATACTAAGATTGATATAATTATACAAATAATTTTAATGTGGATTAGTCGAAGATGATAATTTACGAATTGCGTATTCTATATATAGCAAGTGAACTTTAATCTACAGTGTGAGACTTTAATACATTAAAACCACAACCAATGAAGACAATTTTCACCATTGACTCAAAGGACAGTATGGAAAACTCATTATAGTAAACAGAGTTTTCCAAGAAACCCTAGTTTTATTTTATAAATGATTATTGTGAAGAAGTAGTATGTGTTATGTATAGGGTTGGGAACTGTTGTATGAAATTAAATTATTGGGTAGCATAGCATAAGTTGGGTTATACTGACGATTTTAATTTTATTTGATAAATAATTGTTGAGAGAAAATAATATTGCCTACGTCTAGGGTGGGGATCTGTTAAATGCAATCAAATTATTATATTGTTTAGGTTAACCTTTGCCAACTCCTTAAATGCTCTTTAGATTGTGGTCTTGGAGTTGGCCAAGATCCTTAAAAAAGGAAGCAAGATCCTTAAATGGGTAATTAGCGCTGAGTAATAACAAAGCAGATGGGAGGGACTTTCATTGTCCTCTCCAAAACTACGACAGGAATGAGTTAAAGGGAGATTCAATCTTCTAACATGGTTCCCTAATGCGCTTTGATTAAGGTTTCTGATTGACCTACCTCAAGGCTGTTGTCTTTGCTAGGCTTCTCCATGAGAGTGTAAGGATTTATCTCATTTACATAAAAAGCATAAAAAAATATATATAAACTGAGAGATATAAAAAAATCTTAACTCTGTTTTTACATAAATAAACATTTTTATTTTTTATATTTTTGAAATTTAATGCCCTTTTCACAGCTATTAAAGCTTTTCAATAGTCACTTACTTTTTGTCCACTTAAAAGCACTACAATTAATTCATTCTCTGTTTTTGTTTTTGTTTATTCTTAATTTTAAATTACCTTAATTTTGTATCTGCATTTAATATAAATTTCGAAAGCAATTATTTTACATTACAACTAAATACATACACATGTGCACGTGTAAAATTTCAAAATGAATAAAAGAAAAAAAATAAAAAAGACTTTAATAAATAAATAAATCAATAAGGAAAAACTTTTTTATAGGTGTATTATATATACCAGTTCTTTTTTGTTCTTTTTTGTGATAGGCAAAAGGCAAGAGGCAAGCAAAATGAAATATTAAACAAAAAAAGTGCAATTCCTCATAGTATAGAAAGTGCCGCATAAAAGTCATTTGTCTCAATGTTTGTTGTTTTTGCTTTTGTTTTTGTTTTTAAGTCTCTGCTGCTTCTTTAGGTTTTCCTCAGTTAACGGAAAAAGTTCTATGACCTAAAGCTTTGCACTGGTGACAGTAACACACAAAAAACAACAACATAATATAAAAAAAGAAAAAATAAAATAGAAGAAAAAAAATATATAGGAAAACCAACCATACCCACCGCACCAAGAATACCGGTAACCAACAACAACAACTGTATACCGATAAAATCGTTTGCATATGAAAAAAATATTTATTCTTGTACCTATTTACATGCATGTACATATAAATAGTAAAATGTAAGCTTGTTTACATAGTCGCTGCCTAACAAACATAACATAACATAGCATAGCTTAACATAATACAAGATACGTATACGTCATACGTACTCGTAATATATAAATACTTTATATGTATGTATGTTTATTTTTTATTCCTTTTTGTATGTTTTGATTGCAAAGAGGAAAATGGAAAAACTGTGCCAACCAACATTTTAACAACAATAACAGTTGTCGGAGAAATTAACATGAACTGGAAATGTGAATCCAGTACTAAAGCTAACCAACAATACGGAAAATGCAAACATTAATATGTATGTACATTTGTATATTTGTACATTTGTAAGTAAGTGTGCAAGTGAGTATGTAAGTATGTTTGTTTGCTTGTAAATATGAAATTTATAGTACTCTTCTTCTCCAATCGTATAAAAGCTACCAGAGCAAACAAGCAGAGCAATGTAAGCAGCGACGTTAACAGCGACGCGTATA